TTCTGTAAGTTGTTTACTTTAGACTCCATGTTTTTCAGCTTTTCTTTTCTGGGAAGTAGTTGAGTAGTTTTGAACATAGTTTTAATCAACCTGCTTAACAGTTGAGAACCCTAACTTGTGAATTTACAAATGTAGCTGAATAGCTTCTTTTGGGTTTTTTTTGGTGGTGGTTTAGTTGTTTTCTTTGTTTTCTTGTTTTCTGAACTGTATTGCAACTATATGTTGGAAATAGTTAGCTGAATTTTCTGTTGATGATGGGATAATTACAAACTGCAGATTCCATGGCACAGTTTCTACATTCTGTGCTTTTCTTGCCATTTGTCTCCTAAATATGACCAAGAGCCTAGATCTTCCTACTACCTATTTTTCATCTTTTACTTTCCTTCTCTGCAGTCTCTAGCACTTACTTCACAGACTTCAACTTCTACTTCCATGTTAATGTGCTCTGTCCTTGCCAGCACTGGTGTGCCCTCATTTCTGCACTGTGAGGTCTGTCCTGCAACCTCCAGTTTTGGGTCAGTTTTCACATATGCCTCTGCCTGTCTGCAGACCACCCCTGTTAGAGGAAATTGTTTTGACCTACTAGTAGACTGTTGCAAAATGAGATGGAGAAACGTGTATGCTCTACCTTTATTGTTGTTTTTATCGTGGTTTATCTACTGAGTAAGGCTTGAATGTGATCTTTTTGTGTTCTTATGTAAAACACATCTTCTCCCAAGAGTTCAACTGTTACCTCCAAAAACTTCATAATGCTTCAGGCCATGTAAACAAGAAGGTCAAGACAGAGCCATAGCAGTTGTTTACTGACCCTCTCAGGTGCCTCGAGGTTGTGAGAGATTTCTGTACAGGATATTGAACCCTCTGGTATATTCCGACTGACTGTATTGAACATTTAAACTCGCTCTGAAAATTAAGGAGAAAAATTGGTTAGTTTTATCTGGAACTATATTGTCCTTTAATTATTTAGAATAGTATATGGCAGAGTAATATTAAAGTCTACTTGTGTGAAATGCAATTATGAAAATTGTTACAACAGTACATTGGAAAGTCTTAGAGTTCAGATGTGAACCCCTTCTTGGGGTGGGGAGAAGGAATGGAACTCCATTACACTCTCAAATTACACTGTAGAATGTATTTATTTGAAGAATTTGGTGAGTGACACAATAATTACTAAGGTTTTGCAGTAGTTATAACAGATATTACTGTAGGATAAGAGAATATGGAAGGCTTTGTGTACCGTTTCGTGCCAGCTTTGCTTACTTAAGCTGTTTAACAAATGGTAGATGTAAAGAAAGTGGATTCATTTTTGTAGCATCATACTTTAGGTTACTTGTGGCCAGAAGTGCAGGGGAGTTTATTTGAATTAAAATTGTTTTCATTCACAGAAGTAACTTGAACATCTTGGGCTTTCTGAGGTTTGGTTTTGTAAACAACATTCCCCTACCAGGGGATCATTTTGAGTTTCTCGAAGCAAAAGCGTGAGTAGTTCTGTTACACTTACGTGAAGATAATAGCCAAGATTGTCTCCAAAGGGAATATACACAGTTGTGCTGTGTGTCTATTCTTAACATTGTTTGAGCCTGTTAAATACTTTGAAAAAATATAAAAAGTAGGTGAAGCCCCTGAGATCAGTTGGATTTGTATGAGTTTTTGGAAAAAGACAGCTATGCATGGGAGAGATCCCATGAATGTCCTTTCTGAGGAAAAGGCTGGCCAAAACAGAACAAAAAGCTCAGCTGTATGCCTAGATACCAGAGAAGCTAGTTGGATCTCACTCTTTCTCACTTTTTACATAGCCCACCTGCATAAAAAGCTTCAATTAGAACTCTGTCGGGGAGTTCTGTGAGGTTAATGGTGTCCTATACTTTTCCTGTGGCTCTTCTTGCTGCTTGCTGGTTTTGTTTTGTTTTCTCATGATGTCTGTTACAAGATGTTTCTTTGGAGTTTTTATTTTCCTTTCTGAAAACTTTAATTAAAAATACCTAGAAAGTTATTACAGGACTGTAAGATAAATCTTCAAGTTACACTGCGGCAGTAATCCCTATTTTGCAGTTCTAACAACCGTTCTGAAGTTTTCCTGAAAAACTGAAAGATGAATTTTCAGAGTGTTTTGTCTCTTAGGACTTTCTTATGTGTAAGACTTTCCCTCTTTTTTTTCCTTCATCTTTTATATAGAGCAGTTTTCTCTTGTGAGGTATCAACTTCAAAGGTATGTGTTCTCACACTGTCATTTCTTTTTTCATTTGTAATTGTAGGACTTGTATGTTAGGAGGAGTAGATC